GGTGGTGGGGAGGATGGGGCTGTCTCCCTTCAGCGGCAGCACGGGCTTGCATTGGGTTTGAGTAGCCGCAGTGTGGTAGCTTTGCAGGGCGGTGAACGCGACGAGTTATTCTCTTCGGCGCTAACTTAGCCAAAGTTTTTCTGAGAAGACGAACTCTTTGAGTGCACGCATCCTAAATTGTTTTTCCAACTAGTTTGTATCCTCTTTTGTCAGCTTGTACTAGCTGCGTTCTGCTCTTCCTCCTAATGCTGCTTTTGAAAGTTCTTGTCCCTGCTGCTGAGCACATGCTGTGGCTTCTGCCTTTTTGCTACCTCCTATCCTTCCCTGGGAGAGATGCGTCTCGCTGTATTGCGAAGAAGGTAGAAATTTGTGGGCAAGGCAGAGAAGATGAGGGAAAAGGGAGTGAAGTGATAGATGTATGCATTGACACCGGAGTTTTTCTGACTGCGTGTATTACCTGCCTGCCTCCAGCAAGAGTTCAGTGTTTGCAGATGGCAGGCAGATCAGGTTTAGTATTCAGTTCTTGTTACAGTCAGGCTGTTTTTGCATTTCAGATTCAAGTCATGAGATCTAATGGCTTAATCTAATGTTGCACAGTTAAAACTGTGAGTTACTCTTTCGTGTTTATTACAGTTGTGGTTTCACTTAGCCTCTCTCAGCACGATGTGTGAAGTTTATTTTACCTGTAGCTGCAAGAAGTGAATTTTTTACTCCAGTGCTTAGATAAGATTTGAGGATTTGTCTGCCTGGGGGAACTATTACAGAGAAAGGCGGTTTGTGGGTTTACGAGTTCAGCGTCTTCAGCCACTCGTGGAATAAGCTGCTGGCAGCTAGCAGTGATTGTCCTGGTCGCTTTACCAAACTCTCTGTTTTTGTGTCTCTGATGTGATCTGTTCTGAAGATCTGGGTAACCCTCAGTTCAAAGGGCATTCAGGGACACCATCCCATGACCGCGTCTGCCAGGGAAAAGTGGGTGGTGAGGGTACTGGGGGGAACTGGAGAAGGATGTGTCTCTACCAGCTACGCCTATTGAGCGTATGGCTGGTGCTGTGGCATTGCCTTCCCCCAGCAGGGGCTGTGCATCTTCAGGCAGCTAACATCTGAGGGTGTGTGCACGTATCCTACCTGTTCTCTCTCCAGCTCACACCGCTTGATTTGCTTTATCCCCTTTTCACGAAAGCGGGGAACTCGCAAAGATGAACAGTTTGGTCTTCTGCTTATAGTCAGCATCACAGCTGGCCATACCGTCCAAGCCTTTCGTTTGCCGAATCCCCCTTTCCTTCCCTGCACCCGAGGCTGCCTTGCGTGAACGAACGGCCGTCCCAGCAGTGAGGTTAGACTGCGGAGGCAGCAGCTCCGTCGCTTACCTGTCAGCCGGGACCGTGCTGGCAGGATAGCCTGGGCGCTCAGTAACAGCAAAGAGCCCACGAGGAGAAGCTCAGTTCTGTGATGTTTCGAAGCAGCGTTCGCCTGAGGAAAAGGGTGCAAGCAGAGTTTTGACAACATAAAGCAAGTTCTGTTACAGTTTTGTGTTTACCGCAAGTGAGTGTTTTACGTTTGTCTCTTACAAGCTTGGCCAGCCATTTCTGGATAATGCTTTAAGACCTGTCTATTTAAAAGCAGTCACAACTTAAACAGCAAATTTATCTACAGTCTGTAACAATTCAGTGCAGTTTTCTCTAAGAGCCAAAGACTTCTCTTTTTCATCGCATTTGTAAACATTTACATTAACCGTTATTTAATCAAAACTGCCTCAATGTTTAGGTAAAATAAAGGCTTATATAGCCTTGGGTTTACCGAGTTTGTGATTATATGTCCTTTTGGTTTTTTAATAATTGAGCTTGTAATAGCAAATGCTCTTTACTAAAAGAAAAGAAAAACCAACATATAAAATAACCGAAGTATCGGATGCTGATGTCCTCACCCATGTTTCTTTGTTCAACGTAAGAGCACGTTGCAATTACAGTAAGGATAGCACGTGGATGAATTGTATTCAGTACAGTTTTTTATATTCAAATCTGGTTGTAAATTTGAGAGTGGACTAGGACAGTAGTGAGCAGCTGTAGCTTGCCTTACTGGAGATGAATTTAAACTTCTCGTGCAATGTAATCAGCTCTCTGTGTATTTTAGGATTGCTTATAAATCTCTCTAATCAGAAATTTTGTATCTCCTGGTAGCTTGTCTCTTTGAAGTATTAAAAAGTTGATCCTTGTTCTCTTACCTTGCTAGATTATTTCTTTTTCTTAAATCTGATTAATCTTCTTCTTAAGCTGAGCAGGAAGAGTAAGAGGAAGATCTTGAAGATAATATAAAATCCAGGAGAGAATATTCTTAATCAAATTCATACGAATTAATAAAGCTGCAACTAAAGTATCGTATTTGAAGATCTATTTTCAATGGTTTCAAAAGAGGCTGTAGATTAAAAGTGAACAGTTTAGTTCTATCACAAGAGATATCGCTCCCAGATACTTAAACCTTTTACAAGGCTGTTACATTAAAAATCTGATAGGTTTATGAGGATGTGATGGTAAAGTTGCTGACGTAGCAGTATGCAGATGAAAACTGAATGGCTTTCGAAGCCATCTGAAAGAGATTGTGCTTATTTTGCTTTACCTTCAAGACAGAAAATAGGATCTGTGGCGGGGGCAGTTTTATTTTCCATATCACATAGCTGTAAGCCTTTGATACCTCCCGAGTCAGTTAGCTCTGGCAAGAGGTTTGATGAAAGATCAAGTAGAACACAAGCCATGCTTCTCGTCCCGTTATCTGATGTAAACCAGAATGAATTCCCGTCTTTTAAAATTGTAGGTCTCGGTTGCCCCAAGTGACTTTGTGCTGTAGCTTGCAGTTCTAATAGTGTTTGCACCCAACTATTAGTTTCTGCTAAAACCATGTGATTTTGTGCATGCGTTCCAGAGAAGTTCGGTAAAGGAAGCAAACAGTGGTCGAGATTCCATCTGTTTGGATTTGACTAGTTTGGATGGATAATATAAGAAAGGGGTGGACTAGCAGAAATTTCACCTGTTTTAAAGAAGCAAAATAGAGAGACTTAGTGTTCAGTTATTTAAACGTGACTTCACAGAAATGCCCTGGAAGAATTCCGTAGACCTATAACTGTGAAAAATGTAAATACCTAATAAAGACGTACTTTGCTCTAGAGGTTTTTAATTTTTGCATTTTAAGACTGGCATAAGCTCAGCTAGTTCCGCTGCTACTCTAAGCAGGAAAATCGTGTGGAAGTTGATGGTACAATCTCTTTAAGTTTTCCCATTTAAATCTGACGGGGCTCGGTATGAGATGTGGGAAGCTCCTCAGAAGAGCAGCAAGCGGCCAGTCTGCAAACAGGAGTTCAGAGGAAGCGCTTGGTGCTTGCTCATCAGCTGCTGAGAAGTTTCATGTGACTTGGGACCAGCAGTATCCCGTTTTTCCCTCCCGTCTTGTGCAATCCTGTCATCATAGCCTTTACGTAGTAACACAGCATTCACTTTTTCTTTGCTTTGTGCCAAGTTACTCAAGAGTGCTCTTCCTTCCAATTTTGCGAGATGCTAAAAATGTTAAAACCCTTTACAGTCATAATTTCTCTGAAAATATGTTGTCTTTTTCTCGATTGGCTCATGTCTCTTCCATTACTAATGCTGTTGGTGTTTAATTCAGTGGTTTATATGTTTAAAAAAAAAAAAAGACCCTATGGTGAGGAAACAAAATTGAACATAGTTGCTAATCCGCTTTGTAGAGGAGCCGCTCTTTGAAACACTCACCGGTGTTTCAAAACTGCTTGCTTTGACAGCTTGAGAGAAGGCAATGAGATTGATTGATTTGTTTTGATGTAGGTATTGTAGTGCCAGCTCTGGTCTCTGCGCTGGGGCTGAGTGGAGAGGCTGTTCTCTTCACCTAGGCAGTTCTTGTCATTGGCGTGACAGCATACACAAAAGAAGGTGGGATTGCTTATTACTTCCAGTTCAGCTGAGCTTTGTTTTCTTTGTACCTCTGGGTGTAGCTTGTGTAAGAGGTCGGGAATGTGGAAGGCGTACAGGGGCACGGGTGGCTGTAGGTGGTTAGGGTTGGTTATAGCTCAGCATCGGGTTTGCCGTCCGCACTGTGGCCTGGGTTTCATGTTCGTTGGGCAGCAGCCGGGTGGTAGGAAAAGCCCTGATATAGAGGAAGCGTTAGAGTCAAAAGGTTACTTATTCGCAGAAGTGGAAGGTAAGGACTGAATTTTATTTAGCATTTAAAATATGATACAGGCAAACTCCAAGGCAAGAGCTGAAGAGTCCAGGGGTTTGAGCATTGAGGTGGTCGGCAAGAAAAGTAATGCGTATGTACCCGAAATGGAGATTTGGCTGGTGGGATCCGAAAGGATCTCTTTTCTTTGTGCAGAGGAATTTGGGAAAAGGCCTCTTTCTAGTTAAATCTCGTTGTCCTCTGCTCACCAGGATGTGCTGGTACACTTTGGGAAGCTGGTCATGTTATCAGGGGGGCTCCAATGTGTCGTCGGCCATAGGTGAATGAATCGCACTGCCTGCCCTGCCTCCCCAGCCCTGTGTGCGGCTTCAGCATCGGCTGGCCGCGAGGAAAGGCAGAGGCGCAAGTTTGTTTGGATGTGTCAGTCTGGGCAACTAAGAGCTTAAAGTAGCAAGACTTTGATGAAGTCCCTTTGCTAAATTTTGAGAGAGTCCGTATGGTTCTGGCAGTAGAAGGAATTGCTTTCTTGAATAATATGAGGTATGGAAACTTCTTGTTTATAATAGATGCTGATCAACAGAAACGAACCAACTCTGCTGTGACTCGTCATAATATCTTCTAGTTGTGCTAGCTCATAAACATATTTTTTTTTTAAAAAAGCACTATTTTAATAGTGTAAGGTATTACATTTTCAGGTAATTATGTGGGTAGCTTGTTGCTATCTTTTTTTCTACTCCCCTTGGAAAAAACCAAACTTCTCTGAGTCTGTACATTAATACCTCTGGTTATTTGGGATGCTTCTCTAATCAAGTACTGAAATGCTTGTTTCGGCTGCGTTCCAGGCTAAAGAGTGCAATGGCGTCAAGGCTCCAATTGACACGAGCAAACCTAACCCTAACGAGGTGGAGTTTGATAACCTCTATTTGGATATGAACGGTATAATTCACCCTTGTACGCATCCAGAAGACAAGTAAGGCAATTTTTTTTCTCTCTTTACAAGTAGGATTCAAGGATAGCATTTTGGATGTTAAATTGAATGCTCTATGCTTTAGGCCAGCGCCCAAAAATGAAGATGAAATGATGGTTGCGATTTTTGAGTATATTGACAGAATCTTCAACATTGTAAGACCAAGGCGACTCCTTTACATGGCTATAGATGGAGTAGTAAGTATTGGTATATTTAGTTCTTGGTAATGACTGTTTGTAAAATTAGGGTAGATGCCGTCTGCTCTCATAAGATCCCTTGGGCAAGTTTCTAAAATGAAAAACTACAGGTAAAATAGACTGTTAATTTAATTTTGGTGAGGGTAATTAAAAGCAGTCATGGGTTTTGTTGCCACTGGGGTTATCTGAGCTGGCTAACGTAGCCTACTGCAGTCTGAACTTTGCTTCTGAAAAGCAGGAAACTTCCATAAGGCAGTAACGTTCTGAAACTACTTGTGTTCCTCTGCTCTGCGGCTTTAGGAATAATTTATGCTGCAGGCTGGGAAAAACCAGTGCACCATTTAAGCAAGTGCACTTAGAATGGGCAGTGACTGAATTGTGCTGTGGAATATTTCACAGGCTAGCCTTAGGGCACGTTTGAAGCTGAAGGCTCATCTTTCTCCATCCCTGATCCTCATCTCCCTCAGTACATCAGTTGGCCTAATGAAAGTTACCACCTTTTCGTAATAACTTGCTTTACTGAGTATTTTTCTACCCAGATTCCGTAGTCTCACTGAGAGATGCCACAGTGGCCTAGCAGATTGCTGGTAGGCCTCTTCTGCTTTGGCTGTTTCTCTGGGCTTTTCAGTTTCTCACAGGTAAAATGAGTATCGTTAAGTAAAAAGATTTTTAACCTGAACTCAAGTGCAGGAATTCTTAACAAATGTGTGTATATAGAAGTAATCCCAACTCAGTGTTGATATATCCATTTAAAAACACCAACATGCCTGCCCTAAGTAGTAGGTAACTACAGTCTGCCGTAGTCTTTTTATTTTCAAAAGCTATGAATACAGCTGTAGGAGTTTCTTGTTGGAGAAGGGGTATGTAATAACTAATGCTTTTCAGACAACGGAAATTCCCGTTTCAGTTACAGTGTAGACTGATGCCTTGTTAAATGGCTGTATAATCACAGACTGGCCAGTTCCAGAAGGCTTGTCCAGAAAGGAGACAACTGGCCAGAGGCAATACCTGAACCCAGCATTGTGACACCTTTTTTAGGCTCCACGCGCAAAAATGAATCAACAGCGGTCAAGAAGATTCAGAGCATCAAAGGAGGGCATGGAAGCTGCTGAAGAGAAGCAAAAAATAAGACAAGAAATTCTGGCAAAAGGTAGAACTGTGGCCATGTCTGAGGTTTTTCAAGTGAGAGTCACCTTGTTTGGTTTGAACACTTCAGGAAAGTTTAGAAAAGGGGTGTCTTGCTTAGTGGATATTTGTCAGTGCATCACGAGGAGGAGGAGGGGATAGCAAGCCTACAGAGGGATGGATCTGTGTTTTCCAAAGTTAAGAACGAAGATAAAATGTCGCTTCTGTCTCCTGCCTGAAATGGATTTGTGTTGACTACTCTTAATTCCTCTAAAAAAAACACCCAACAGCTGAGCAGGGATAAATGAAGTAGTGGGGAACTAACCACAGCTCTCATGGAGGGAAGTACAGATTTGTCGGGCTTGATGAAAGGAGAGTTAAGGTTTAAAACCAGGGACTGAATAAAAATATTGCTGCACGGGAATAAAGAACTGCCATCAAGGGTAGTTAGTTGACAGTGGAAACTCTGAACTGAGTGAGGAAACAAAGGCAGTGCAGCTTCCGAAGGGTGACAGCGACAGGACTGGAGTGAGAGGGGTGTGTGTAGCTGAAGCATGCTGTCTGGGCTGGAGCAATTAATGCAGGTGACTGTCTAGGAGGAATGAGTGCTGTAGCCCCGTGCGAGGGCTTTGTGTAACCTAGGTAGAGATTAAAAGGGTAGGACAAAGACTTTCTTAACATTTCTTCCTGTAGCATTTCTAGACTACGAAGACCCTTTATGAAGCTCAGAGATGAGAGAAGTTGGTGTAACCCTGTTTGTGAGCCCAAGTGAATAGATAGTGGAAACATAGGGGAGAATATGTAAGAAAATAATTATTTCCTAATGTTTTATCTCATTTAGCAAGCTTAGTTTCTTTGAGATTTCTTTCACAGTCTTTTGCCAGAATAGGTAGTGAAATCGCTTTTCTGAAGTAACAACGTTTGTAAATGTACTAATACCTTATTTTAAGATGCAGATAATATAATGGTAAGAGCTGTTTTAGTTTTGTTGTTGGGTTGGTTTTGGTTTTGTTTTTTTTAAACTAACTTTCAGTAAGTGTTAATTGTTATCAGGGGAGCCATCTGGGTGTTTATCACGCAAAAATGTTTTTGATGTTCCGTATTGATTTATTTCTGTTAAATATTTTCATTGCTCTAGGTGGCATTCTTCCTCCAGAAGAAGTGAAAGAGAGATTTGACAGCAACTGTATTACTCCAGTAAGTAATCTTGCACTTTAACCAGCAATTGCCAGTGTCTGAATGAAGGTTTAATTTATTTCCTTCTGTCACTTTTTAGGGAACAGAGTTTATGGACAATCTTGCTAAATGCCTCCGCTATTACATCGCTGACCGTTTGAACAGCGACCCAGGGTGGAAAAATTTGACAGTAAGTTTCACACTTCAGGAAAATTAAGGTGATCTATTAGGCTGGGTTGGGATGTGACTGAAGACTAAAAGTTTAACAGATTTGTCTCATCTTCTGGCACTGTGCTGTTATTAATAATGGACCAACTTGAACCTTCTGCTGGGACTTCAGAGATAACATTTCATCCTAGTAACGCAATCTAACAGCACCATTTGTTTTGATTTCATTTAAGAGCAATGAAGAGATTTGATAGTAGAAGCCACAGTTTGATATAACGGGAGATGGGGTTTTAGGAATACTTTTTCTTCTTTTGGGGGAAAGTGCCAAGATATGTTGTATATGTATTCTTTTCACTACTTAACTGGTTTGCTACCTCAGGTAGGCTGCATTTTTTTCCATTATTCTAATGATGGGTGACAATAATAGATCAGGGGCAACGAAAATAATACATGCCAGCTTTCTTGCCTTTCTGGACTTGGAAATTCTTTCCTCCTCCCCCACCCCCCCCCCCCCCCCCCCAGGGGCTTTTATTCCTGACAACCCTGTGTTTGCTCTCTACAAGAGGGCAGAATAGTCAGTCTTCTTGGATGCAGCTGTCTGTTTTATTTTCCGTAAGTTGACTGTTAAAGTGGTCTAATTAGAGGGCAGTTGACTCTGCTTAATTCCCTCCATCAGCCTTGAGGTTTATAAACGCTAATGCTCATCTGGACATGAGTGTAAGGAAGTGTGTAATGTGATAATGTACCAGTGTGTCTGTGGGTTTAGAAGATCTAAAGGGAAGCAGACATGTATCTGCTTTATCTGTTAGTTTTCTAGTGCATATTTCAATTGCTCTGATAAATTATATTATGGAACTTCAAATATGTTCGTTAATGACGTGATAAGTTCAGTGGTATTTGAATCAATGTCAGCTTCGTCATAGAATTAGTAGAGAAAAATGAAGGTCTGTTTATCGGTTCCAAACTCTTAAATAATTTAATTTTGAATCATAATATTTCAGTTAAAACTACAAGTCAGAATTTCAAGCATTTGTAAGTCAGGTTCAGGAATCAGTATATGAACTACGTAATTTTTTGGGGGCACACTGTGGTGACATAAATCATTTACAAATTTTAAATGTTTCGCAGGTTATATTGTCTGATGCAAGTGCTCCTGGTGAAGGTGAACATAAAATCATGGATTACATTAGAAGACAAAGAGGTAAATTTCAAATAAATGTGAACATTTCGTTTTGAATTAAGGTATGGTCAGTAATACTTTGTTTTACATGACTGTTTGACTAAATATAATTTTCTTTTGTACAGCTCAACCAAACCATGACCCAAACACTCATCATTGTCTGTGTGGGGCTGACGGTGAGTTCTCTTTTGCTAGCAGTGTGCCCTATTAAGCTTTCTTGTGCTGTTCTGTGATGGAGTTGGGCTGTAGTTTTTGGGCTTTCACTTGTGCTTGTGTAAATAATCCAGTGTATTTGTTAGTTTTTGAGAGCTCTGTGTACTATATGGGGAAAGATCTAGCGCTGTCCGTAGCTGAAGGGCTGGCTTTCACTTAGTTTGTCTGGATAGTTTGTGGGTGAGCACATCTGTGTGTTCACACTTGCTTAAGGTAGAAGGTACTTTGCTTTTAAACTTTTTTTTTAAAAAAAAATTTCATAATGTTTATCCTTCATTGTATTTTATTCTTCTCTCTTGATTGGTAGCTGATCTGATTATGCTTGGGTTAGCTACGCATGAACCAAACTTCACTATAATTAGGGAAGAGTTTAAACCAAATAAACCCAAGCCGTGTGGTCTTTGTAACCAGATGGGTCATGAGGTTAAGGATTGCCAAGGTTTGCCCAGGGAAAAACAAGGCAAGGTGAGAATTTTGCTCTTTCTAGAAATTCTTTTTATCTATAAGCAAAGCTATGTTTTAATGAGATCCTCACGTTTTTCTTGCTGTTGGCTTTGGCTGAAAAAATAATGCAAATTATATTACTGGAATTACCTAGCTTTCCTCTTATATTAGTAAGTAAAAATTGTACGTCTGTAGCACAAAGGTATTATGCCAAGCCTACGTCCTCGCTTGTGGTGTTTTGTTGGGTTTTTTCTTCACTGGAGAGAAACAATGATCAGTAATTTAACAGATGTGCAAAGTAGCAAAGTGCATGCTCGGCCTAAGAACTTGAGAAACCGTACTTGTATACCTCTTAATTCCTCTCAGAGTAAGCCTTTAACATTGAGCTGGGGAAACTTTAGGGTGAGCTTGGGTGTCATGCAACTCTTTCCTTTTATTTCAGCATGACCAGTTTGCAGACAGTCTTCCTATTGCTGAACAAGAATTCATCTTCATCCGATTATGTGTTTTGCGAGAGGTATGTTGAAGCAGTTACCGTATCTGCCTTGTATCAGTAACGCTTCTAAACTCCGCGCACAGCATTTTCTGATGGATGTTTTCTCTTGTTTGTGCCTTGCAGTATTTGGAAAGAGAACTCACTATGGCCAGCTTGCCTTTCACTTTTGATTTTGAAAGAAGTGTCGATGACTGGGTCTTTATGTGCTTCTTTGTGGGAAATGACTTTCTTCCTCATCTGCCCTCTTTGGAGATCAGGTAGATGACAATATCTGTCGGCTTTTCCTGCAAGTGTACCTGCTGTGGTTTTAAATGATAAGAACCTCATGCTTTTGTTTCTTTGTTTTTAGGGAGGGAGCAATCGATCGCTTGGTTAACATATATAAGAATGTGGTGCACAAAACTGGGGTAAATTTTTTGCTTTTTCTTTAAAAATACTTGGTGTCTACTACACAAACAGGCTTGTTTTTCAACTGTATTCTTTTCTAATTTGCAGGGGTACCTCACAGAAAGCGGTTTTGTCAACCTACAGCGGGTCCAGATGATCATGTTAGCTGTTGGAGAAGTTGAAGATAGTATTTTCAAAAAGAGAAAAGATGACGATGTAATTTTTTTGTTACATTCTTGGAGATTGGTTTTAATCACGTGCGTTACTGTTAGACTGTGACACTCCTTTAACAGAATAAGGAAAAAAAAACAAACTTTGTATTTTTGCTGTTATAATCTCTGGTGAATTCCTCTGTACTCAAAACCAGAATTGTGTGCTCCCAGTTGATTTTCTTTTCCTGGACTGCAAGATCTGTTTTTGTGATTGTTATCCCAAGTAACAGCAGAAGGAAAACTGTATGCGAGTGCTGTTACTGCCTGCAGCCGCTATGAAAACTGAAGAAGGAATTGTTTGTAACTTGCTGCAGCCTGTGGCAGTGCAAGCCCATGAGCAGGGGCGAAATACTAAATTTGAATTCCAAGTGCATTCTTGCCTTGCAGTACCTCCTGCCATTAGAAATGTGGCCATAAATTGCTGTTCTTTGGGTCTGTCTCCGCAGCTTGTGCAGTTTTTTGCAGATGTATTCCAGTCTATTCATTAAGTGCAGGGGATAAAACACCTTGTGAGTGGAAGAGCAGAATTGTATTTACTTTGCAGTCAAAAAATACCGTGCCAGTGCCGGCAAAATGTTTTGTTTATAGTTGCCCCAGCCTGCATCTCTCTTGAAATGGAAATGCCAATTTGATGTTCAAGTTTGCAGTTTCCACGGCTCAAGAATATGAAATATCTTCCCTTGAGCCTCCTCTTTTCCTGTTGCTGGGACTTCAGTGTGTCTCCTACTTTTTAATTATTTTTTTTTGTCAGCTGTGCTGATGCAGGCAAGGAGCCTTGACACTGCTGTCACCTTGAAGTAAGGCTATAGCTAAACTATATATAAGCTGTGCCTGTAATTGTGGGGCTTTGGATACACACCTGCTCTTTTCCCCATAGGTTTTCAGGGTAGGGTAGAAAATTCTATCCCATTTCTGTTGGATTTGCAGACACGAGAATTGACCTACGTCTTATGCGGAACATTATGTAAAAAGCTTATGGCCTTCTGGTCAGTAGACAATGATAATGAAATATTTTTCCAGCAAATCTGTGTGCTTGACTGACTATTCCTCTTTATTTATTTAGGATAACTTTAAAAGACGACAAAAAGAAAAAAGAAAAAGAATGAAGGTAAATTAATTCTTTTCACAATGCAAAAGCAAGAATTAAAATGTATGCTACAGCTTTCAGCAATGTGTTGGTTGAAACTGCAGTTGTAATCGTGGTATTTCCTGGCCTGCGTGTAAACTATTTTAAAGGGTTTTTTCATGGCTTTTTGTAGCTTTGAAAGAAGGAATTGCATATTAAAGGTTTCTTAAAAGGAAGAGGAGGGAGGGTGTTGAATGCGTGGACAATAGCTGTATGTTGTATCCTTCAAATCCACACAAATGTGTGCTTTCATGATTATTTAGGGATGCTTCAGCATGGTCACAGTACAGGAATTGCTTTGCCATGCATTGACATGAGGCTTCTCAGCAACTGTAAGAGTCTAGGTTTAAATACGTATACCCATTTGCATTAAATGGATTTGCTTAGAGGCATGTTTCTAAAAAAACCAAGGCAGGCTTACCCCAAACTAGAGTTAAGCCAGTTGCAAGTCAGTGTTGCCGGGTACCTCTCAGATGGAACAGAGAAGCATTAGCTGTTGTGGGAACGTGTTTGCCCTTTCTGACCTCTGTAAGCTGAATTCTTTACAGTTATGTTATTGGAATGATGTTGAGTTTTCTTCTATTCACAGAATATTCTGATATTTTAAAAAAGGGCTCTTGTATGTTCATCTCAACATATCGCAATGTCCTAACAAAGAACAAAGCTAAGTGTAGCTTCCAAAGCTTTCAGGGTATATGATATCACCACTCTGAGTACTACCTAGGTCTTGTGTTTATTTTTTAAATTGCATATTTTCTGACTATCCCTACTAAGAGTGGAAGAGGTTATTCGCTTTGCTTGCAAAGAACACGTTCTTCCCGGGCAGTTAGATGAAGTCTCACTTCCCCAGAAAACTGCCTTTCAGCCCACGTGGAAAGACCCTGGGCACAAAATGCAGGGCTTGTTTGTTTGTTTTTAAAAGAGCTTAATAGACTGCAGGAGTATAAGGGTCTCACTTGTAGGTGTCATCTTATGCCTGGTTGAGATTTTTAAACGTGACTAAAGTAAGCTGAACTGAGTGAGTAAATTATGCTTGTTTTCTATAACGTGTTAATCTGAACGTGGTGAGAGAGCATCGTCACGCTGCTGTGGAGATTACACAGCTCTCTCAGTACACTTGTCTGTGTTTATCTTTTAGAGGGATCAGCCCGCTTTTATTCCTGGTGGACAGTTTTCCCCTCAAGCTCTGGGAAATCGATCCAGTCCTCAGGCAATCAGTAACCCTAGACAAGCCGCCTTTGAGATGAGGATGCATGACAGACAGAATTCTGTAAGTAGATGTTCAAAGGTATTTACACGTGGAAGGGGAAGTGATCGCATCCTGTGTTGCTCTGGCCACCTTTTTCTCTCCTCCATCAAGCTTTCTTGAAAAGCAGACACCCAAAACCCCCCAGTTTTTCAAGGATTTTAATAACCGATTTTTGCAAGACTACTTGGATAGAATAGTGTTCTTTATTTTAATGTTGGTGTGATCCTGCTTGTTAAATAGTTCTGGGTGGGCAAGCGTGAGGCGAATGCATGCGAGTCAAATGTGGTGGCTCTTCTCCCCGTTTGGCACTTGTGGAGTCAAATCTCCTTGTGCGTACAGGCTTAGGAACTTCCTCAGCAGGTTTGTGAGGCACAAGCTGAATATCCGAGCTGGAGGTCTTTTCATATTCTTCTTGGAATTTCTATACACATGCAGACTGATACCTGTATTTTGGGAATTTGCGATTTGCTTGTTTGTCACTGCTTTTACTTTCCAAAGTGTTGCTTTTCACTGGGAAGAGGAGAAACTTATGTGAAGTTTTTGGAAAGGTGTTAGAAAGTGAGGGAGAACTGGAAGTAAGTTGAGTGCTCTGTTAGAAGTCTTGATTGTGAACTCTAAATAACAATTATAACAAATGTTTTCTTTCTGGGCATAAATCCTCATCCAAACAGTGAACAAATTAAAGGTCCTTTTCATCATAAAGATGTGTGTTCTGTCTCTAAGTCTAAATAAATACAACGTGCTTTTTCAAGGTACAATTTCTGCTATTCTTGCCTTTTAATCTTGAAACTTTTGCACATGGGTTAAGCAAATCAGTTCCTTTATGGAATGGGAGAAGTGTCTTTTAGACTCTGTAATGCTAAAATGGATAAATTTGAAGGGAGATTAAAAGATCAGTTGTGAAGAAACTTGGAGTATTTCGGCCAGTTCCGAATGACGAGCAGCGTGTTTACGGTAGCCTGCATAGGCGTTTTTCACTGTTGCTGTAAAGTGAAGTTGTAACGTAAGCTGTAGGACTAGAGACAGCAGTTGTATTCCACAATCGCATGTTTTATCAATGTATACTGTCTTGTCTATAGCATCTTTTTCTTTCTCAAACACAGAGACCTTTTTGCCTGTACATATCGATGCCTGCCTCTTAATACAACGTGTTCTGCTTTTCTTTTGCTACTTGACTTCACAGTTTAAGGGTTGTGTGGCTTTTTTTGGGAGCTCAAAATAATGCATGGGATTATCACAAAGCTGTTAATTGTAACTTGAATTTCAAATGCCTAATAAATCCTTCCCCCCCCCATTTATCTGTAATAATTCCGACACTAGACAACTTCATCGTCTCCAAACACCAGCATCACTTCTGATGGCAGCCCATCCCTGGGAGGAGGAATTAAGCGAAAAGCTGAAGATAGTGACAGTGAACCTGAGCCAGAGGATAATATCAGGTGAAGCCATTTTTTGTAGCACTTTGTTAGCAAATTGCTGAAATAGATGCAGTCTAATTAATGCCATTTAGCTTAGAGCAGCAGTGCCTTCGGATGCTTTTCTATGATCTTTTTATCCACCGGTAATTAATGTGGAGGGTTAGAATATTCAGTAAATTCCAGTGAGATGTGTAAGCTATAGCTGTTAAATCTAAGTATCTAGATTAGTATGCGTGCAGGTTTTCATCCTCCAAGCCACTACTCCCTTTGAGACCAAGCACTAGATTGGCTAGACATTCGCTGTTCAGCTTTGATTATGTGAGCTGAATCCCGCTGGTTTGCAGTTGAATTTTTGAGCTGTTTAACCCATAAAATTCAGTTACACTTGCATGTGCAGCATTATTTACCTTGACTATCACAATATGTTTTCTTCTATCTCTGACTTGTAGCAGGCCCTGTTTTGTCTACGACGAGTTCTTTAAATGTCTTGGGATGGCTGATCCCTAGATGATTAAGGGATAGGCATTTTATGAGAATTAACTGACAGTGAATTACCAGTGAGTCTGCATTTATCGAAGGTTTAAATCAAGCTATCGCCCTCTTAAGTTGAGGGTGAAGGCCCTTACAATTTTTTTATAAAGGTTCTGCTCTTCTAGATGCAACCAGTAGATTTTTGTTTTCTGTAGAGTCAGGGGGTGTAGGTGGATGTGGGAAAACAATGAGGGTTGTTCCATTGTGAAGTACGGATCACTGGTGCCCAGCACTGTTGTGACACCTGTGACATTAGCCCATCAGATCTTCCAACATCAGATATTCTAGCTCTCGTTCTTATTTTCTTCCCTATATGTGCAGAGCTGAATGGATTTGGTTTGTTTTTTTTTAATCAAGCAACCAGAATTTTTATCTAAAATTGGGATCATTTTTAGTGCTGCTTTCCATTTGAACTTCCACAGGGGCTCTAAAAGAAGCTTTAACAGTTTTTATAGCAACTGGTGTGAATGAACTGTGGTGATTTACGAGTAGCAATAGTTCTGACAGGGTTGGTATTGTCAAGCAAAAGGATATGCTACATTTGTCCACAGTTAATTTGCTCCTTTGTAGCTCAGGATATCTATTCAGATCCTTTTGTGAGTGGAAAATAATGTCATGCTTCTCGTTGTAAGTAGAAACAACTGCATGAAGGTACTAGATGCAAGGAAGTTGTTTGCGAAAATGTATGTTGTGTTTACAATGACCTCAAAACCACAACAAGTAGCTCTAGTCAGCTAGCAGCTTGGGGTTTTTATCTTGCAGAAAAGGGGGTTGAAATGTATGCAAGTGTCCCACTGCCAGGGAGCTCGTAGGGGCAGATGCTCATAGGCTGCAGATGTTCCTGGCTCTGTCCTTCGAGACTGCAGCGCAAGCGCTCTGTCCTTGCTCACCTGGCTTTCCTCAAGTCTTGAAAACAGCTCTTGGTTTCTCTACCTCCTCGTCTTTGAACTAGCTCAGGTCAGATCTTAAAATGTATCCCTGTGCTGGGCAGCTGACTTGAAACAAGCAAGGCAAGATCCTTTTTGCGGAACCAAAAGGATATGCGTCATGTAAAAAAAAATATAAATTGATCTTTGCTCTTTCTCAGAGGCTTCATAGGCTGTATTTATTGCTCTGTGAGATTTTGACAAGCGTGTGCTCGAGCTGACCTTGCAGGTTACTTGTGTGCTTCAGATTCTGCATGGAATTTAAAGTGGGCACAGCTTTTGTGGAAAGGGATCTTGTGTGATGATTTTCAGATGTGACAATCCGTGCTAGGTTTTGAATTGTTGAGAATAAAATTCCAATAATAATAATAATAAAATAAAAAAAAATTAAGGGATTATCTGATTTAACCAGTGTCTAAATCAGACTTGTAATTTGCTTTATTCTGGTTGGCTTTGAATACCAAAATTCATGTGAACTTTGAGAGATGTGTGTGTAAAATGCCTGCGCTATGGTGAATAGTAGGTTAAATTTAACAAACAACAAAACCCAACAAAACAAACCAAAAAACAACCCAAATAGTTTTGTGAGGGAGGCCCGTTCTGAAGCCTGATACCGTGATTGAGCCAAATGTGAAGTAGAGCTTAATCTTTCCATTACTTGAACTACCTTTTTAGGTGGCAGTCTCTGAACTGAACGGGAATCTCCCCCCAGATCATATCGTGTCTGTTAGGACTAACAGCCTGAAGTCTGATGTACATGTGAATAGCTCCTTGCCCGTGGTACGGCTGTCCCCTCAGGATTGATGTGTCGCCCATTGAATGAGAGGAACACAGCAGACAGGGAGCAGATGAAGTGTCCGAGGAAGAAAAGCTCTGGGGGCTGTGGGCAGTGATTCCTGTTGCTGCCCGTGCCCACTGCAGCAGCGCTCCCCCTGCCTCCTCGGGCATTAGAGGAGCCTGTGGTCTGTGTTTACTGTTAATTATCACAGGACATTCTTGCTTGAAATGTGGCACAATATTGCACACTATCCCCTTTTTTTTCCTAACATTATGCACTAGAACTGAGGGATCGGATGCTTGTCTGTCAAAGAGGAGCAAGTGGTGGTTTTCCCCTGCCCCATCCGTAGACAGACATAAGGGGGAGCTGTGTGAAGTAAGGATAAATGGTGCCTGAGACGGCTCTTTTGACTCCCAATATCCATCCCTCATGAAAGATTGAAAATCCCTGTGTAAAAGGGAACTCCTCTGACGCGAGTCGGCAAGCATGGGATTCCCGAGTTGCAGATAATCCTGCTGGTAATCGTAGCTTGGCTGAATAGCAGTGGGTATAAAAATCAAGCTGCTGCTGCTGCTTAGTATTTGTTTGCTTGCTTTTTATTTTGAGCAGCAGAGAAACTCTTTCACCTCTCTGCTCAAGAGCTGTGTTAAGAATAGAGGAATGAACTTGATGTGAGAAGGTATTCCAGTAAGATAAAGATTTTTGGCCTAGGGTAGATTAAACAAAATAAGGGGGAGAGTTTGTTCGCTTGCTAATAGTTGGGAGAGTTAAGGAACAAAGTGTTGGCAGGAGATTCCTGCTAAGAAGGAGGAAATTGCTGACTAGGACCGACACTGTTTGAAAAATCCTGAGGCACACGTTTGAAAATCTACCCTGCTCCTGACAAGCACTTTGAAGACGTGTTTATCAGGGTGGTAGCTTCAGAATTGCATCTGGATTTTCTATGATTCCAACCATCAAATTTTATTCTCTTGCTGCTGTGTATCAGTTTTTAAACTTTCATTTAAACTGTGTAAAAACGGGAATCGAAGTAGCAAGCAACTCTGGCTTATGTTTTAATTCAGATATGTAAATGTGCATATATCAACATGTATTGACACCTATTTGTGTTTGTTACACAGGTTATGGGAAACCGGTTGGAAACAGCGCTACTATAAAAACAAATTTGATGTCGATGCATCTGATGAGAAATTCCGTCGTAAAGTCGTACAGTCCTATGTGGAAGGGCTTTGCTGGGTTCTCAGATATTATTATCAGGTACTTAAAAATTTCTTCTCTGCACCTTCAGTTTTCTTTTGTGTCTGCACTCTGTTTCTTTTCAGGAAATAATAATTACTGATTGCTCACTTTTGAAAAGCAGTGCTGCTTTTTTGAAGACATAAAATTAGTGGGCGCCCATTCTATTTGACACTCAAGGTTTAAACACTGTTTTTGTTTCTCACATAAAAACCCAACAAGTGCTGTTGCTTTTAAGGACTGTTGCATGTTTTTCCTTTGCAATACATAGCCACGCATCGTGAAATTGTAGATGACTAAATGAGTGAACGAAGGACAAAGCCTGTGAAATGCTAGCAAGAATTTGAGAGGCACAGAGTTGTCAGTCTCCTCCATAGATTGTAATGGTGTTCTATGAAGTGTGTTGTGATTGAAGTAATCTGTATCTGATTTAAATCTTTTGATAATTGAGATGTCAGATTGGCAAGAGATTAGTTAGGCATATTGGGGTTTGTTGCGCCGATGGTTAATGACTAGCTTCGTGCCCGGCAGACAAAGTAAGTTTTATTTTGTGTGTGACCTGGGAGCAGAATGTGCTCGAGACGATGAAGTTTATCCATCTTGGCAGGGCTGTGTAGCTTGAACGCAGTGCTGTGTTGGTAAAACTGCACGTTTTTCAAAGGTGGCTCACGCCTGTCCAGCTTGGAGCACAGGCAGGGCAAATACCTCATGTGCCTGAAAAAAAGGATGTGGTCTTGAAGTTAGTTCATTTTAACATATACTGCTTCCCCCCCAGCCCCCTGGGAACAAAAAGGGAGCGTGTTCCCTTCCCTTCCACTGTATTAATTAGTTGAGTTTGGGCTCTGACTTGCATGTTATGGGGGGTGAGAATCATAGAGTTTAAGGTTTGCAGGTCTGTCGCAGTTGATCTGCAGCAGAGCCGAGCTCCCCACATCCTTGAGTAGCTCCCTTTGGAAAGGACAAATGTCACCTGGACACCTTTAGAGGTGGAAGCTCCCACGATCCTGCGCATGGTTAAGGTCTGCTGAAAGCAAACTGTGTTCCTGTTAACCGTGGCAAGATACATTCCTAGAGTTCTATACGTGCCCGTATGTCTCCAAAGCGTGTAAATGAATCTTCAGATTAGCCGTAGGTGTCTACCTGCTGGAAAACTGCCCATGATGCAGTTGTACAAAACCACTGCAGCCTGGATGTTGAGGGAAACTGAAGGGCTTAGGGGAAGGCAGTGTTTGCCAAAGCTGGGATAATATTTACGCGGTGGCCAAAATATTTATACTCATTTGACAACTGTAAAGTTAAGTTTGTTTATTCAAAGAAGTGCATGGGGTGTGTGTTCATTGCTTCGTGAGCAGCGGCCACGGCCTTGTGCAGACATCGTGTGCTTCCATAACTGTTCCAACCAGGGCTGCATTTGCCTGTGCTGTTGAGAGATCTGTGGCTTTCCATGCGTAGGAACTGGAAGGCAGGCGTACGCCGCACTTACTACGGGCGAGTCCTTGTGCAAGACTTGCTAGTTTAGCGTGTAAAACCAATTTAGTTACCGAGGCGTACGTAGGTGACTCCTTGTCCTTCTGAGTTTGTGGGCACTCTGGCTGAAGTGACTGATGCATGCAGAAGTGACGGATGATTACAGTTGCCAAGAAAATAAATCAGCAAGGTTGACAACAACTTCAGGCAGGACCATAGTGCTCTCAAGAGAATTGGAGTGCCACGAAGGCCTCCGGGAAAAGTGACTACAGAAAATGTTTTCTGGTTTAGAAATGTTGCAAAGAAAAACTTCATGGAAGTCACAAATGTTTCAGGCTCTGTTTTTGCCATTTTGCTTCATATTCAGATTACTCTAGAAGGCAGCAAGTCGCTCTCTAGACCTTACAAAAATTACATTGCGACTTAAAATAGTGCAGCAATGAAACATTTGCAGGTGCTGCTGTTTGTACTTGCGTAACAGAGCTGCATGTAGGCCAGATACGGTAACCTGCTGTACAGGGGCAGTCTGCAGGGCTGTGGGGCAGCCGTCGAATCACTTTCTGCCCATACGGGAGTTAGAGTAGGAAGCTGCTGATCTGGGGGAATCTCAAAATAAGTTTGCTGGAAGGCTTTTGATTTTTTTTCTTTTTATCATAATAAAAATTGTTTCCCAATAACTACTGCTCACTGTCCATAAAACTTCTGATGGAATATATTACCTGCTATTCTATTCTTACAAAAAGCTAATAATGCAGAGCATGTTCCGCTAGTGGGAACATCTGGTTGGGGGGCAGGGGGGGAAGGGAGGAAGGAAAAAAAAAAGGGGGAGGAAACCAATCCGCCTTTCAAAACATACTGAAACCATCTGAAGAATTGCATCTAATAATTAAAGTCTCTGTAATCTTATACCAAAAATATCGCTGGAGGAGTCTCATTGACATTTACCTACTCAGAATTGGAAGTCAAAACATTAGGCTTTTGTTTCAAGTGGTGCTGCTAAGAAAAGTAGCTGAGGAGGTGAAAACTTGACTTAGACCTTCTAGAGCCTCGTCTCCTTTACAAAGTGCATTGTGTTCTGATGTATTTGAGTTTATTTTCTCCTTTCTGAGGATTATTTTTCCTCTTTCAAGCAAATGCACTTTATATTTCCCAATGTTCAAGACACAAGAATATTAGGGGGAAAAGCAAAACATTACCCAAAGTGTGCTGAATAGCAAAGTAACAGTTAAACCCAGAATACTTCTCAACCTGCAACAAATATTGTGCACATTTTCACACCTTGTAGAGTGCATCATATCAGGGTGCTCTGGTCCCCCATATTCCCAAGTTGGCCGTGAGATTTTGCATTGAAAAACAGTGGTACAAAGTGTGTGCTGCCAGAAAAATGCTACTTCTGTTCCTGGTGAGACCCCAGAGGCTTTCTGACGGGCACAGTTCTGCCCTTTATACAATTATGGAGAACTTGGGAATTCCTCCTCTGTGTCAGCTGTGTGCATTTCCCTGTTGAAGGTGTGGTAGCAACTCTACACAAGTTGAAAACACGTCCAGTTGTCACAGCCTCCTCAGCTTAGTCCCAGGGGCCAGTTAACTGTATGGGTAGACGGTGATTTCCTACTCTGTGCAAGAAATTTTCCTGCTTGGCTTTGTTGGACTTTGTGCATGTGCTCGTGTTGTTTTTTTTGGAGGGGGAGGAGAAAGGCATGAGGTGTGTTGCGGTGTCCTGAAGCTCCGGTTAAGATTCTGCTGCAAGGTCTTCTGTGTCGTTACGGTGCTAGGTCCTGTCTCTTTGGCTGTCTCCCTTAGTGACTCAAACCTAGCACATAGCAAGAGTACTTTGGCATAGAAGTCTATCTGCCGTTCTGTGCTGCCGAGGAAATGCCCGAGGTCTCCATTCACTGCCCAGTGAACTCACTCGCTCTAGTCTGGCTATGAACAATTAAGTCCCAACCTGAAGTCCAGAGTACCTTTAGAGGCAAGAGCTCTTTCTTTTCTAATCGTGGGGACTCCTCTTTCTCCCGGTTGATGCTGGGCTAAATTTTGTCATCTTTAGTGACTGGGCTACGTGATCTTTATTTTTTGTTTTTCTTTTCTGATTTGTCTGATTGTGTTTCTCTATCCTAGGGCTGTGCATCCTGGAACTGGTATTACCCTTTTCACTATGCTCCATTTGCTTCTGACTTTGAGGGTATTGCAGACATGCCCTCAGATTTTGAGAAAGGCTCAAAACCGGTAGGCTGTCATCATTTATTTATTTGTGATTTAACAGCTCATTAGAAGTGCCCTACATCTGCTTGTTTAATTTCAACAGTTCAAGCCTCTTGAACAACTAATGGGAGTATTTCCAGCTGCAAGTGGAAATTTTCTGCCACCGACGTGGAGGAAGCTGATGACAGATCCGGTAAGAATCCTGTGTTCCTCTCTGTAAGGTTATGTGATCTTGCAGTGGCGTGACCATGACTTGCTGCCACTTACTTCAGGCAGAAAAATAATGGAGGCTGGGAGGCACTGGTTTTGGTAGATCGCAGAGATTCTTCAAAGATGCTCAAAAGTGATTCTTTGAATTCAGATGTTTCAGTGAGAAAAATGATTTCCTGACTCTTTTACACTTGAATAAGATTGTTTACTTTCTGTAAGAAACCTTGCAAAGCTTAACTGGGGAGCAGATACCTTAATCCAGCTGCCTGGAATTACTCTATCTACCTTAATTTCTTGTTTTGATACTCTAAGTGATGGAAATGCCCTACCACACTTCATGTTTAAATGGGGTTTAATAAAAGATGTTTCTGTTAGTCAAAGTTCTTTGTGTCCTCCTTAGCTTTGCATTTGCTCACCCTCTGTGAAGTACAGTGCTACATGGCATTCTGAATCAGTTTCATAATTGGCTTTAATGATTTTTTAATTTTATTTTCCCAAATACAGGAATCAAGCATAATTGACTTCTACCCTGAAGATTTTGCTATTGATTTAAATGGGAAGAAATATGCATGGCAAGGTGAAATTTCAGCTTTCTTTTTTTTGAGCTGTAGTATACTGACCTTAGTCTTAAGAATCTATATAAGAATAGGAAGAAAATGGAGAATTATCTTGGTGAGGTAATGACACAGCAAGTCACACAGGTAACTCGTGTTACGCTGTGTGTGGGAGAACTATTCTGCAGCAGGTGTATTTTTGAAAAGAAACGAGCATGAAGAACAAATTATGGTTCGGTACCTGATTTGGGATTGGCAATGATTGTTAGTAATTTCAGCAGTCATTCTAGATTTGTTAATTTGTCTTGAACTAGATTAATCATTTTTCTATTTTTATCAGCCCTGCTGTGTAATTGTCTTTTGTCTCCTTTGCATTTAATTAATGGATCTTGATCTGTTCAATCAGTGGCTCATTAGTACCTTGCGAGAAACGCTTTGGGGAATATAGAAATATTTGGATGCATACAAAGAATGAAAAAACAGCTACAGTATTTAATGCAGCTTCTTCTTTCTTTAGAGAATATTAATTTTAAAGGTCTGCCAACTTTTGTTGCCGGTTGCACTATTCAGCCAGTAGTCTAATATCTCAATTATAGGTATAAAAAGTTATTTGGGCACGAAATGAAACACGTGAAATTCCATCTGAGCATAAGGAAGCTCACTTTTACTCTGAGGGTGACCAGACACTGGAACACATTGCCCAGAGAGGTTGTGGAGTCTCCCTTCTTGGAGATATTCCAAACCCAGCTGGACGTGGTCATGGGCAACCTGCTCGGGGCAACCTGAGCAGCCCATGACCATGCCGGAGCAGAGGTGATGGACTAGATGATCTCCAGAGGTCCCTGCTGACATCAGCGATTCTGTGATTCTTCCCCCAAGGCTGCTTGCCTATGTTTTGAAGTAGCCACAGTTAGATACAGCAGTACCTTGCCTCGGGACAGCATTCCAAAGTCGCAGAGAACATTCCTCAGGATTATGAGACGCGTTGCATAGCAGGTTTCCCCTCTGTGACTCGAAGCCTTTTCCTTAGTCCTTCTGTCCAGTTATCAAATGTACAGTCTGAAGCAGTAATATTTTAAGTAGCTCCCACATGCTTTCAGCAGCCTGTAATGTTACTTTTGATTCATTTAATGCTTAATTGCATTATAACTCTTTGTTCTGGATTAACATCTGAAATTCTCAGGTTTAAGAGGCAGTTGTGAAACAAGAAATTTTTTCTAAGCTGGAAGACTATCTCAGTTAAAAAGCATCTGGTATACGTTGTCCTCTTCATGCAATGTTCGAAGATCTTCCTTTCGGAGATGTGATTATGCTTCCAAAAGCTCAGCACTGATCCTTTTTGCAATCTCCTGGGTTATGAACACTTCCCGTTTTGTTGTCATTCCACCAGTGTGTTGTGAAGGTGAAAATAAATTGTTTTCCAGGCTAGGCTTATCAGTGTTTCCCTTCACAAGTAGTTAGTTCCGGCTGAAACTTGAACACGGCTGGGGTCTGGTGCTGTCGTTGATAAAGCTGTAGTCAGTCTGCGTGAAGATTACCCTCATACTTCCTAAAGCAGGGACAGCGCTGCACGTTTCTTGTTGGTGAGACTGGCACCAGCAGGCTGTACAGCTCTGCTCCTTGTTATTTTACCGTAGGCTGAATAAAATTCCAATTCTGTTAACCTTCTGAACATATTTAACGCTTCCATTTTGTTCCAAACTGGCTTTGCTAGGAGAGGGTACGAGCTTCTGGTGTAAGTGCACTTCAGGTAAAGTTTGAGGTGGTCCCCCTTCCCTTCAGTTCCAGGACAATGGTATTTGTTCTAACAAAGCCACGTAAAGATCTAACTTCTGAAGCAAAAGTGTTTCAGGCAGACCAAGATTTAGATCAGGAGCCTAAGTCTGTGGAAATCCCAAGTCCCTGTGAATGTTGTACCTTAGAGTGATGGCAAACGTGTCTGAGCTCTGCCCAGCGGTAGAACTGGTACAGGCACAAATATGAAACTATGAATATCAATTTAGAAGAACGGCTTTGCTGTCATTTTGGTCAGGAAAAGCTCTAGTGTTCATGGCAAGAGAAACAAAAAACCGCAAATAATTATTCCAGATTCCAACCGATAATAAAAGTGAGAGAAGTAAATCTCTGAAGAATTTTCATAGTAAATGTCCTAGTGCTTTTTTGGATCTTATAGCAGAAGAGAACACGTACTGGTGTGTACCAGGAAAGGCTGTTCTCCAGCTTCATCCAGTACGACCGGGTGGGCTCTGAGCTGTGCTGCTTAGCGAGGGATTTTGATCCTGAGAGGAGCCTCCATGTTATCTCGGAGTAGAATTAATAGCTGGTATGAATCATCACTAATGGACAACATCTGCACCACCTCGTCGCTGAACTTAGAGTGATTCTTCCATTGTTGTCTCTCAGTAAATTAATTTGAATAAAGTAGTGTTGAGTTCTGTCAGGGGAGTATCCATAGCAAATGAGGCAAATAATGACTGTTGTAGTGACCTCCTCTTGTTCCTAAACGAGGCAGGTGTGGGTAGAGGTTATGGCTTCCCAGTGCCTACCCAGGACCAGGGAGGAGGAGGATGGAGGGGTGCGTGGAGAGAAGCTTCCCTTTTCAACCTGCCCTACCACTGAACTGGCTTTCTCTAAACAGCCTGCAGGGTGACAGTCTCTGAAAATGTAGGGTTTTCTTTTCTGTGACTGCTGCAACAGTTCTTTCTTGGGTAAAGCATCTATTGGAGCTTTAATCACTAGTGTCTTTTTTTTTTTTTTTTTTTTTTTTTTTCCCCTCCTTCTTCCAACAAGTGCAAAGATAATAATGTGCTGGTTTTACTAGGTGTTGCGTTATTGCCATTTGTTGATGAGCGACGCCTTAGAGCTGCCCTGGAAGAAGTCTACCCTGACCTCACTCCTGAAGAAAGTAAGAATTATGATATTTTATTACAACTTGTATTTTGCCCTAAATGAGCAAGATATAATAGATGTTTGGTTGGATTGAATTATGGCAGGCTGTAGCCTCTTCTTCATGTATGGTGCTTGTAATTGGAATGATCCTTGATGGGCTTGGTTTTGCAGCTTTCACTTACTTTTCTTTTACCCAAGTAGACCTGCATAAGACCTAACCTGAAAATTAGATGGCAGCTTAATCATGCAAAAAGCTTCTACCAGTATACGCTGTCAAAGCAAGCGTTAGGTGACTGTTGCAATCAAAAGAATAAGCTCTGCTTCCAAGGTTAGAGTTGGTGGTAAACTGGGCAGATGTATTGGCCGTTCTGACCAGTAGGCTGGTTGTGTCCGGTTATGGTATGGGAAGCTTCATGTTCAGCTGATATAGGCAAACGTACTTTCTCCACTGTACAAAAATAATAGCTCGGTCTTGTAGGTAAACTGCTTGGGACTTGTGTGGTTTGGGGGGGTGGCTTTTTGGTTTTTTTACCCAACCTGTCTGCATCTTCAACATTGCGCTGTTTGAAATTCAACATTTCTCCCACTGAACGCGAGATTCACTTTGTTTTACTGTCTGCCAGCTACCCTTGTGGCCAGACACATTCTGTTCTGAGCGCACACTGTCTTTCCAATGCTCTCCAGGAATGTTCAAAGCTTTCTCCTACATCATAATGAAGCTTTCCTTTTGCGGAGATGCCAAGAGGACAGCACGCTGGTCTGCTGTATTCCTTCCTTCCCTCTTTGCTCTGAACTCTTATCCCGTTCCCCTCATCTTTTCTAGGCAGAAGGAATAGCCTTGGTGGTGACGTTCTCTTTGTTGGAAAACACCATCCACTTTGTGACTTTATTGTGGAACAGTACAAGACCAAAAATACAGAGGTAGGTTGTACTTGTTCTTAAGGGATTGTGTAAATGGCGGGGGTCTGATAAAGTGCTTCAGCTGAGAAATTCTCTCTTCCATAGCCAGTGGATATGCCCCCAGAGCTGTGCCATGGAATCCAAGGAAAGCTTACACTGAATGAAAATGCTGTTCTGCCAGATCAGTGAGTATAGCTTTTGGTACAGGTTGGCTGATGTTAAAAGATGTTTCCTTCTGTTATGTCTGCGTTTAAGTAAAAATCTCTTTGTGCCCACAACGAGAAACCTACAACTCCTGACAAGGCGATGTAGTGAGCTCTGAGGCTAAGTGTGCTTTCCGCTAGGTTTCATAGTAACTGTGTGTTATCATCAGTATATGTAAAAAAACAAGCAAGTAAACTTTCATTCTATGATCCTATTTTTTTAATTTCAGAACTACACTTTCAAAGCGGCATCAGAAATCTTTAAAGCACTCTAATGTGTGTATTTAATTGCTGGTGAATTCTTTTTTGTTTGCTTGTCATTTCATCTGTGGAAGGGTGGATTTTATGTATTTAGTAATGTTTGAGCTTTTTAGTAGGTAAACAGGGACTACATAATAGTATATATAAGTAATGAACGGTGGCCTTATTCAGTAAGGTCATGTTGTTTTGGCCTCTGCTTTTGTATGAATGTTAATTTAATGCAGTCTGATGTAAATTCCAATAGTGTGTGCTGTTTAAAAAAAAACAAAAAACCAAAACCAACAACTCTGCTTTTTATATGCTAATCTTAATTGCATTAAAGAAAAGATCCAGGTAGAGGTATATTTCGCCATTTTCCATTTAGGCTATAGAACTAAATTCAAGGCTGTTACCAACTACACGTACAAAAAATGCTCCTATTTTTTGTTTTCTAGATAATGCATTTAGTTTGAGAAATTGTCTGTGTAATCTTCACTCTGTAGGATATGCATTCATTTATCTAACTCTGCGTAGAGGCATAAGCAGGTGCTCAGCAATTTATCTGCATTACGTGCACAAGCACTCCGATTTTGTTGGACAGATAATGCATCCTAGGTCACACTTACAACATAGATTTCCCTGTTCTTGTCATGGCTTGCAAAGAATACGAGCAAGGCGGAGCTCCTCTTGCAGGGAGTAGCAGTGCAGGAAAAAGAAAACTCTTCTGGCGCTGCCTTCCCTAGGCAGAGCATGAAAGATGGGTGATTTTTTTTACCTAGAGAAGTAGTTTGCTAGGAATTCTGCGAAGATGAGCAGGCATTTGTATCACCACTGCAGAATAAGTCTTACTCTGCCAAGGCGTTTGGGTCAGATCCAGCCAGCATGCGCGTAGCTTGTGGCCTGTGTGCCACGTGAGTACGTGAGGGTTGTGCGCCGCGGGTGCGCAGAGGAATCTGGTTGCTGATTGCTAAGAGTCGTTTGTCTGCTTCAATTGAAGGGGTGGAGTTTTCTGGAGGAAAGAAGGAAAGGGTTGAGATGCAACTGCATGGCAGCCTGTTGAATCTCAATTAGGAAGGAGACTCTCGAAGTGCTGTGGAAAACAGCTGCTAAATTTTTTTAATTTTTTTTTTTTTTTTTTACTTCAAAGCCTTTTTCTTCTTAGCGAAGCAGGTTTGTGTCTTCATGGTGTCTGCATGTGTGTCTGTCTCTCTCTGGTCTTCTTCTGCCCTCTTAGAACCCGTTGGCTTCTTATAATCAAACCCAGCGGTACCTGGAAGTTCCCAAGGCGCAGCATAGCACTGCGGTTTGTAACCGGGCCGCTGGGTAGTAGGAAGTGTGTGAACACCCTGTTAGGTACTAGAGAATCCACGCAGATCAGCGGCAAAAGTAATGACATCAAGAAATAAGGATTCAGTAATTCTATTGCTTATAGAAGTATTCAATCTAGGAGAAAGGCAAGATAATTTTGAAATCCCTTTTATGACAGAGGAATGGGAGTGGTAGCAACAGAGAAAGCAGAACAAATGGTGAGAAATCTGTTACGTGACATTTTGACAGAGGTTTTTCTCTCTACCAGGACAGTGGAGTCTCCTGTTCCAATGCTGCGTGACCTTGCACAAAACTCTGCAGTCAGGTGAGCAAACTCTGGGGTTACTGCAATGGCATACAGAACACAGCGATCAAAACTCAGTTTGTTCTGCTGTGATGTTGAATTTGCAGCAGAACCCATCTCTTAATAAATTGGAAGCTGTTACTTTGAACATTTCTGGGTTTCTGTGGGAACTGAATCCAAGATGTGTTGTGACACAGCGGGCTCGGGTGAGGGCGGTTGAGCAGAGTGCGTAGTGGCGTGCCCAGCAGGGGTGTCAGGAATGGTCATTTCTCAGCACATCAAACCCAGCGTATTTCATCCTTTCAGAAAACCCTCATCTTTCCTGCTCTTGCTTTTCTGCTCGCTCTCTGTTAGGACTTTGGGGTCTTTGGCAAGCAAAGAGCAACACCTACAGAACTTGATAGCCTGTATCAAGCCTTTTAAATTCAAGATAACGAGACGTTCATGAGGGCACGCCTCTGAAACAGAATTGGGTGTTGATTGAAAGCCCTCCAGCTCTTGATTTTGCCTCTTGGATTTTTGCCCATTTTTATTCCTACTCATTCCCAGAGGACGCCTGAGAATATTAGCTGTAAGAAGTAAAGGAGTAGGACTAACTTTGCCTGAATGTGGTTTGGGAGAATAATAAGCTTCATAATGAATCAAAAACAATGTGGGGTTTCCAAGCGTAAATCTTGTGGTCACAGAAGATTTTAATTACTCCTGCACTTGACAGCACGCTTCTGTAGCTCTGGTGTCTTGCATATTGTTCTCACTTCATCTGGCGCAGGTATGTAATGCCTGAGCCTATAACCTTTCACTTCTTGAGCCACATAAGGTACCTGAGACTGCAAATCACTTGTGATCTGCCCACATGATTTTTCCTCTGAGGAGGCATAGCTTGGTTCAGCTAGAACAACTGTCTACGGTAGGCAGGATGCGAAGTTGTGGCTTGTCAGGATATTGCAGAAAGGATGTTCTGAAATGGGGATTTAGTTACCTTGAGTGATGAGTTAAAGGTAGCTTTTGGCTTTCTGTCTGCCACTGTCGGGAGGTTTGAATTGTTTTATGCTTCTGTCCATTTCTCTGTTGCAAGGATTTTTCTTCCTGTCTTCCGAGATAGTATGAGCAGTCATGATTCTGCTCTTCAGTTCTTGTGACTTTGGCTGGGTTTTCCAAGGGACCATTATTCTCTTTCCTTTAAGTCTCATTATTCTCTGCTGAAAATCAGATGTATTTCAGGTGGAAGAGTGACATAATTCCGCTTAGCTGTTTGCTTTTATCTATCTTGGCATCCTGAGCGTTCTTCTATACCAAGTGGTAGGTAGTGAGAGAATGGGAGGCAGGTTGGTACCCTGCACATCAGACATGTCCCTGGTGGGACCTGCCTGGGACCTGGATACTTACACCAGGAGATTGGAATTGCTGGGAGCGTGGATGAATTTTCCTAGAGCAAACTCAAACTGCTGCATAATGTTTGTACCAGCAGAAATTAAGCTTTCAGCCACTTCTTGCTCTATTACTGCTTAGTTGGTCTAGTACTAGACAGGTCAAAACACGGGGTCTGCGAGGTGTCACTGAAAATAGGGGTGTGTATCCCTCCACGGGAACTGCGTGCAACTGCAAAGCCGCCTTTCAGGATAAAAACTCCCTGACCCAGGAAATCCCACTTCTAAGTTCTGTACACTTCTGGCTAGCCTGCAGAACAAGCTGATACCCTCCCTGTCTGCGCTGGACAAGCCTTTGAACTTGACCAAGTACCGTCAGTGCTTTGACTAGAGGATTTGTACTCGAGGGTGCACAGGAGATACTTTCATTACCATACATAGGACTAACTGTTTTCTAGGCATTAAACTTTCTTTTGGGCTGGCTGTTGATACAGAGGAGGAAAAAGGTCACCCTGTGGAAAGTGAGTGGGACATCCAAGTCCAGTGTAGTCAGTTTATCCACACGCAAGAAATGTACTTTGCAGCTTAAGTCATGGGTTCTTGAATCTTACCCTTTCTGTTGTGGACATCACTGTTGTTAAAGCAGCAATTACTTTTTAAGCTTGCTTGTCATAATTATTGTAAACCTAATTCTGAAATACTTTTTCCTAGTATCTCTTTCAAAGATCCACAATTCGATGAAGACTTTGTTTTCAAGGCTGTAGTGTTACCTGGTGCAAAGTAAGTATCGGTTGTCAGTTTTCAAATAATTACATTTTTGTTCATTAATCTGAGTATTTGCTCTGATAAATAACTATGGAACTATTTTTAATATTAAGGAAACCCGCTCCAGTTCTGAAGCCAGGAGACTGGGAAAAAACCAACAATGATGGCAGGCCTTGGAGACCGCAGCTTGGTTTTAATCGAGACAGAAAACCAGTCCATTTGGACCAGTCAGCATTTAGAACTTTAGGGTAAGACTGGCAGCGTTGGTCTTGACTGCCTTGCTGAGATGACTGTAGTCCCTTATTGCTTTTTAAATTAAAAAAATAAAAAACAACCACAAAGAAACAAAGTGGGTGGGGATGTCAGCAATGAGGTGCTGGTGTTCCATGTTGGAAACTTTGGCATGTGATGTTCAAATTCAGTATTGATGAAAACTGTATATTACAATGACTTCACTGTAACACCTTGCACTCTTCTCGATTTTGGGATTGTTTTTTTTTTTTCTACTAAATATTTCGAACTACCTTTCCCATGGGGTTTTTTCATCTTGTTTGGTGGATGCTCACTTGAAGTACAGAAGGTGCAATGAGAATATTGCACACAAGTGATAATTAGGATTATGAAGACAGCAGTATCTCTTATGCTTTTAAAAACGGGTTGTAAAAACCCTTGTTTGAAGCACATGTGTTACACCACGCTATCAGTCTCAGTGTTACTGTTCAAGGTGTTGCCACAGTCAGTTTTTATTAGTTCTCCAAAAGTCCAAGGAACTTTCTCAGATACTGCAGCATAGTACGAGAGTGCCTCTGAGCGCGGGATGAGAGAATGAGCTGGGGTTGTGTATTACAGATAAACCAAAATGTTTTGCCTTTCTGGGGAGTGGAAGCAGCCATATGTTTATCAGAGCCAGAAAAGAGAATGTTTTCAAGGAGGCTGTAATACTAGCAAATAAAATTAAACTCTGTGAGCAACTGAACCTGGGTGTCTCTTCAGGAGGAGAAGATACCGTCTTCACCTTACGGCTCTGGAGGAGCCAGAAGGAGAAAAAGCAACACCCTTCTTCCCATTCATGTGTTGGGAAGCGTAATTGTCCCAGTGCTACCCTTGTGAACCCTTTCTGTTCTTCCATGTCATAGTTAGGAAAAAAAAAAAAAAAAAAAAAAAAGCTGCGTTTTT